TAATATATATATATATATATATATATATATATACATTAGTAATTACCCTTGTAAATATAACTTAAATCCATAATAAAATAATGCTACCATGTTTTATACATGTAATTTTTTACCGTAAATTTTAGTGATTTTTTTTTTAAGAAATTGGCTCATTTGCATTGAGCCAAGAGTCAAGATCTTGTCTAAATGGTTTATCCACCAAGTTTTCTGATGCAGTTGTTCTTTTTTTCCCCAAAATCTTGATGCCTTACAAAACTGAAAGTAACAAAATTCTTAATAAAAATTCTTCTAAAAATACAAAGCTTTGTGAGAAACATTGCAAAATGGCATTCTTGTTGGCAGGTGCTGAAAAGCGAGATTTCCGACAGCCCCTCATGTTTATGGAATTACTGCCCGATGGCCCGAGAGCTTTGATCTGATATCACCCTCCGCACCAGAGCTCATACCAAGGAAATTGTTCTTTCCTTTACAAATCCCCTTCCTTCTATGCGCCCTCGAAAAACAAACAGTGGGAGGGAGGTTGTGGTTGTCACAGCGTGTTGGATGTGCTGCCCTGTCGCACTCTGACACTCAGGCCCGGATTAAGAACACATAGGGCCCTGGGGCTATAGCAAACCCAAGGGCCCCCCTTCATAGTAGCGTATCTTGGTGCCACAACGTTTTCTACCACAGGAATAATTCTTTTTTTTTATTTTTTATTTTTTTTTATCAAATCTCCAACACAGAGATACAATGAGTATGCACATTAAATATTCCAGGCTACAATACGTTAAAATAATGAATACATTAACACTAGATATGAAGTCAAAGCAGCTCTCTTAAGGAGTTTAGTTTAAATAGTTTTATTATTAGAAGGTCTTCTTTCTGGCCCTAGAAGAGGAGAATCATCAGGGCTGGACTGGTGCTAAAATTCAGCCCATCTGGCCCACACAGTCCCCCATAAATGTTTTGCTGAGGTTAGGGCAATTGGAATAAATAAATTATTTATTAATAAATAACGGACGAAAACAAATTATATTTTTAAATACTTAAAATGCATTTAACAATATTAATATTCCATTATATTGCATGCTCTTAATTATTGAATTCATATTTTTTCTGCAATTAAAGTTTATTAGAACTATTAAATTCTCCTTTGTAGTTGCTCTAATGAAAAGCTAATTCTTGAATCCAGAGTTAACTATAGTATTAATAAACCCTTATAGAAGGGACTTATTGCCTTTATTTGGCCCAATATTTAATAGGCTATAATTAACTTATAATAATTTTCATGGCATTAATAATAAATATCATTAATGCCATATTTCTACAGTGTCAGTAAATGCATGTTAAATAGCCTAGGTGTGGTGATGTGGATTAAATTGCTTATTTACAGTTTTGTACAGATTACCTCTACACTTCAGTTTGCATGGTCAGTGCTATTCAATCTGGTTTCCGCTAGCTACACCACAGACACTTTACTGTTCAAATATATGTGCCATGTGTGGAATTCAAATGGGCAAGCGCTGCTTATTATCACTTCAATAGAGTGGAGAAAGTGTTGAGCTGCAGTCGTTGTCAGCGCTGTGCCGGCGGGAGACACCGGTCCGGTGTGGTCCAGCTGTTCTCTTGCGCTGCGCGGTTTAATCAG